ACTGCTATTGGGTTGGATCTTAAGACTTTAACTTGTTGGTTGAAATCAAGTTGGCTTTTCCACTAACCCCGAACAAAGGTGAAGTCGACTTTTTGCAGGGCGGTCAACAGCAGCAACCAAGTATTCCACAAAACATTCCCAGCCGGTGCCATGCCGGGCCGGCTCGCGGAAATGCTGGCCAGCGCCTCAGTGCCCAACTAAAAATCTGCGAAGAAGAAGGTCTGGGATGTCGATCTGGGGAAGGAAGCCTCCTTTTGCTTGATTCATTGTTTGTTGTTGCTTTGTTGTTTCTTTTTGTTCATTTATGTTATGTTTTTAAGGGACACCTACAGAAAGCCAGCCAGTTTGGGGGGGTCCCCTATTCTGAGACACCCGTTTAATGAGGGGCACTTCCTTTGGACCCACAGCGCCACCCGCGTTTCACCCGGCCCCGATGTTCGGAGCCTCCGGGGCGCGGAAGGAACATGTCACGTGGACCATAGTCTCACCGAAATACATTTAATGCGGACCATCATTTCACCTAAATACATGTAATGTGGAACCCAGTTTCACCTAAATACATTTCATGCGGACCGGAATCAAAGATTGTTTTGGTTGGGGGCCAACGCTGAGCTGGGCTTGCGGCTGACGCCCTTGCAAGGTTAAGGTATATGTGGGGTGTTTCCAACAACTTGCATCCGATTTTGCCAAATGCCGGTCCCTTTGTTTGTGTGTTTGTTTGTTTGTTTGCTTGCTTGTTTGTTTGTTTGTTTGTTTGTGCTTGTTTGTGCTTGTTTGTTTGTGTGTTTGTGTGTTTGTTTGTTTGTTTGTTTGTTTGTTTGTTTGTTTGTTTGTTTGTTTGTTTGTTTGGTTGGTTGGTTGGTTGGTTGGTTGGTTGGTTGTTTGTTTGTTTGTTTGTTTGTTTGTGTGTGTTTGTGTGTGTGTGTGTGTTTGTTTATTTTGTCCGCATCAATTTTCGGGCCTTTTGAAGAGAGCGGTTGAGCGGGGTGATGTGTCCGCACAAAAAGGGAGCCCTGTTAAAGGGACAAAAGGGGATAGTCTAGGCACCGGGGCCAAGTTTTGTGCAACACAAAGGCGGATTTGAGAGATTAGCACTCCCCCCCTCCGGGTTGACTGCTTAGGGCGATGGATTCATGGCGGAAAGTCAAGTGGTTAGTAGCAAGGGCTATCTCCAGTGCTCTGTTTTAGACTTCGGATGAATAAACCAGTGCAAGGTCTTTTCCTGGGTGTTCCCCCATGAAGGGGTTGCGCTCGATCCGTTCCCTTGAGGACACGGCGTTGGATGATCTGGTGGAAGGCAAAGGCGGTAAGGCCGGCTATGGCACCTTGGTTCACAAGCTGAATGCTTTCGTGTTCCACAGTCGGGACGGGTTTCTTACCAGGATCTACAGGGGTTTTCCCTGGATCTCTAGGAAACTGGAAGCACCGGGAAGTTGGGTATGTCTTGCTGTTTGATTTGGCCGAAGTATCCTATTTGCGTTCCGGAGTACTGGCTCAAGTTGAACAATTCCTTGTGGAGGTTCCTTTTTGAGCAAACCTGAACATGCCAAGTGTAGGTTTTTTGGTGTCCAAAACCTAGTCCTGCCCCGCGCTCCCGACAAGAGACACCTGACACCTGCCTGGGGCATTGACTGAACCGTCTTCCTTGTTTTTTCAAGGTCAAACCAGGACAATTTGGCAGAGGCTGAGAAGGCATTGGGTTCCCCTGGCGCAGCATACCGTTGCGCCATCCACCTTTTTTGGATCGACCTTTCTACCAACTGCAATTCTGGGGTTCCGCTAGACTACGACCGTGTCAAGCGCTTCGCGGCCTGTGCGCCACTTGCGGGAGATGGTCGAAGCCGTGGCCCCGAACCAGAACCTGGCGCAGACCAAAGGCAGATGGAAAGTCACCCCCGAGGAGCTTGCGCACTCCCTGATCTTCAGGGCCGCTGGTCGAGGTCAACACGAGCCAAGAAGAGCAGAAGTTGGTCACCCGGAACCTTTGGGACCTCAAGGCCCCTGTCTCCGGAAATCCCCTGACACCACTTTGAAACCAGAGGACATCATGGGTGTCTTGGAATTTAGAGGGGAATCATCGTTCCATGGTTTCTTAGGTGATGCAGGATTTGTTTCCATGCGCAGTATGAAGAATGAGGCATGGGTTTTGCATCCCGGTCGTGGCTGGTGGAGTCTCCCTAAGCGGATTGTATACGCATGGCGTGTCTTGAGGGAACCCCTTTGCGGTTTTGACAAGGCAAAAGGAAAGCCACAAGCTTGGGGGTGAAAACGACAAGCCCATGTGAGCCCTCTTGCCCTTTGGGGCGAATTGCCCAATCGGGAGGGTTGATGGGCCCAGAACCTCCCTTGCAAGTGAGGACGGCGGTTTTTTTCGCGTTTTCAAAGGGTGGAATGATCTCTGAATGGTACCAATGTAAAAGTTTGATTCCAGTTGCTGAAGTATTTGTCCTGTTGAAAGGAACTTTATCACTACTGGACACATGTTTGTTCCAGGGGACTTAAGCAACAGGTGTGGGTTCCTTTGACTGTACTGCGCGAATTCCGACCGCTCTCAGAGGGGGGCCCTCCCCTTAGCAGTAGAGGGCCCCCTGTTTTTGTTTTTATCAGAAGTTGATATGTATCCTCCCATTTTAATCCATTTTGTGAATTTTACGGGCAATTCCGGGATCACTGGTTTAAATGCGGCGGAACCATTTTTAACTTGTGTTCCGGGATAGACACTTGAGAAAAGTGGGGTTTGGCTGACCCAGCCAGAAGTGGGATCCCCCCGCAATTAGAACAACCCAGTGCTTTAGGACCCTAAGCATCAGTGGACCCTCCATTCCTTTGGGGCATTTTGCTTGGATTTTAGGACTTTAACTTTTTTGCCAACTAATGGGTTTTCCATTAAACCACTAAAAGTGAAACTTTTAGCAGGGGAGCAGAAAGCAACCGAGATTCGAGACGTTTGATCTCCATTGGAAGACTTTGGATCCGTGCAACAGACATACCTACATTCTCTGGCTGTTGATATAAGAAGTTTGTCTTTTGACGGTGCCCGGGATGCCTCTAGCGAGGCTCAGTTTGCCCAATGGATACCAGGGTTGTGGATCAAAGGCTTTATCCCCACTTCAATGATAGGCTCAGGGAATCTCGCACAGAATCTGCTGAGCGCGGCGGACAGAGCCCGAGCCCCGAGAAAAATTGAAAATGTTGGCGCTCATTGGCGCGAGCCACGAAAAAATACCCCTGACATAGGGGGTTAGTCTTCGGGAAACCCTTTTGCTGTATCACAGAAGGCTACTCACACAGACGCCGCACGTTGTATTTCCCAACAGCAATCAGCTGGCTGTGGTTTCGTGCTGAACACAAGGCCCTGAGCGGCGGAAGGGTGCCAGAAGAGGGCCCTACGAGGCGCGCTTTGGCAATGAAGCCATTTGTCGAACCACATTGATAACCTCACCATTGTTTTTTGTTCTTTGTCCCTGCAAAGCAACCTAAAGAAGGGTATATTCCCGTAAAGAAAAGACTGAGCCATGTTTAACGCGTGCAGATCTAGTTGGAGTTGCCCAAGTATTCAACCACTTGAGAATTGTCATCTTCTAGGCTGAAGCAAATGCCGGACGCAAACCCGCCACGGCTTCAACACAAGGGGAGCAACAGTCAATAGTTGTTGTCATCTACTGTAAAGGGATGACATGGGCACACGAGTCCCAAAATACCACCAGGACTGGGAGGGATTCACCAAATCCAATGTCGCAACAAGCTTTGACCTTGGCTCGGTGTCAACGGTCCTGGTCACCATAACCCTAGTTTGCTGGTTTACATGGCCAGTCTTTGCTCCGGATCGCCCCATGGAGTCGGAAGGTTGGAGGTGGGCCTTCTGCTCGGGGCTTATGGGCCAGCAACGGGCGTTTTGCTTCCGTGCGAGACATGCACGGAATGAGAAATGGAATGACCCGAGAAAAACCATCCGTTCTGGCTTCCTTGAAGGGAATCCCAAACGGTTCATTCCCAACACCGAGACTCGGTCATTCCCTACCTATCGCACCAGCAAGTTTGTCAGGATTTGTTCGCTTTTGATCTTGTTGAACCGTCACCTTAGGGCCCCTTGGTCTCTTGGTACCTTCAAGGCAGATTGGTTGACCCCTTCTTCTGCTCAATAGCCATCCTCGAAGAATACCAAAGGGCGGTTTGGGTCATGGTTCCCGGTTTGGAGTGGTTGAAGCATTGCCTTGCGCGCCCCTAGATTGAAGGTTGACCGCTTTAAACCCCTCACCATCCTCAAATGGACCCTATGGTCACCTTTCGCTTGCCGAGGATTGAGTCGTGTTCCGTTTGGGTGCTGTTTAGAGGGAAAGGTACCGGACATGTTTCTATCGGTTGATTCCCCATTCTTTTAAGCCATCGTTCTTTTCAAAATCCGGCCGGTTCCCGGGGTTTCCGGAGGTTGTCTAGAACGATTCGGATCCCTGGGTTGAGAATGGAACTGGAAGGTAGCACCAGAATGTTGACCAAACTTGAAAACTGGACATGGACTCTTTGGACTGGGCTTGGTTGTACAAAACGGGTCGTGGGTGAGATGGGTCCATTCAAGGAACGTTCTTTTTAACGGCCAAGCGGTCAAACGGACACCCGTAGGTCACGTTCTGCAAGAACGCCGTCCATTCATTGAGCAAGGACCATGTTATTTGTCCAGGCCATCCCTTTCTTGTTTTGGCATGTGAGTCACTGATGAGAAATTCCTCGCCAAGGGGAGCCAAACAAAAGGGAGTGACCATTGATCAGGTCAGCTGGTGGTTTGGATTGGTGCTTTGGGACTTTAAATCTTGGCTCTAGAGCTGGGGGGGCAAAGGTGCACTTTCCCCCTCCAAAAAAAAAAACAATTCTACCCACCAATCTGCGAGTTTCACAATATTTCCAGAATCTGAAACAAGGGATCCTCAAGTAAAGGATCTTTGCCATGAGCTCGTTTTACCCCGGATCGGTGAGCTCGCAATAAGATAGGCAGAATCGAAGCCACCAATTCGGCAGAAGCTGAATGAAACCATCGGGGGCAGAACCATTGACCCTCGACCCTCAACCTGGTGAAACTACCCTGTGGCGCAACGGGGCTGCTGTTAGGTTTTTGGAGTCAAAACATGAAACAGGGAAATTGATGTTTTCTTGCGCAAGAGCCCAAGGAACCCGGAAGGGGTTCTCAACTACCCACCCCGATGGTACCTACTCCCCGAATAGGATTCCTAGGTCTCCCAGTGCCCTTTTACCGCTTTTCGCTTTTACCCTTTTCGGGGGAGGGTTCCCCTCAAACAAGTTGGTCCCCTTATTCTAACCTCTACTGGAGGACCTAGGATTCCATACCCCGAAGGACCCTGAGGCTTTGACCGATCCCATGCCAGGAGCGCCAGGAGCGCCAGGAGCGCGCTCGGGACTGGGACGAGAATTTCGAGTGCCGAATCCCCGCGGATGCGGACGTGAGACTCGGCCAACCTTTGGGGCTTTGGGATTGAAATCGGTGGATGGGTTGCGAAATCCCTTTGACAGCAACACGAAATGAAGCCGTGGCTGAAACTATAACGTTTAAGTTGGTTACTAGGAATCAAATCGGAAACCAGGGTTTGTTAGGTGGTGCAAGATCTCGTCCATCCACACCAGGGCAAAATAGGCTTGATCAAATGGGTTTGCGATCTTTTTGAGGTTGCATCTTTAAGGTTGGTGAAAGAGAAGCCAAAAGGATACCCGCCCTGTGCTGGTCCCCGATTGTGACACGATTCAGGGGATCCTAGCTCCCTTAGCTTAGCGGGATCGCAAGGGAGGTTGCTTAAATAACATGTGTTTAAACATGTTTAAATGGGCAACTGGTCAGGAGGCGGACAACGCCCTCGAACACATGTTTTGACGCTGTACTGGTTGGAGCACTGGCCGTCACGTCGGGGTCTCCTCCAATTGTACATTTTTTTATTTTCTTTGAGGGCGCCCCGTTCTTGAAATGTTTAAGATCAACCAAAAGGCACCCTACCACAAGTTGAGATTTTGGGGTTCCCCTCGAAAACGACAAAACCATAGGGCAGACGTATGAAGAATCTGTTGCCGTGAACCCCAGGGCCAAGGAGCACTATCCAAAGGGCAAGCCTTTTAGCTTCCATCTGCTGAAATAAATATGTTTCCTCTTTTCCCTTGTTGGCTTAAAGGGAATCCATCACTACTGGACATTTGTTCTAGCATTTGTTCCAGGGAGCCTAAAAGCAAATGGAACTTAGGCACCCGGAGAGACGAACTTAATCGAGAGGTTGAAGCTTGGCAGAAAGGCACGGTCTTGGCTTAGCGGGTGAGGCAGAGCAGAACCATGGAAGTTGGTTGGGGGGGCTTTGAATTTTCTGTGCTTTGTTGTGGGGATGGATGGATGGATGGATGGATGAATGGGTGGGTGGGTGGGTGGGTGGATGGATGGATCGATGGGTGGGTGGGTGGGTGGGTGGATGGATGGATGGATGGATGGATGGATGGGTGGGTGGGTGGGTGGGTGGGTGGGCGGATGGGTGGATGGGTGGATGTGGCTGTGGCTGTGGATGTGGATGTGGATGTGGATGTGGATGTGGATGTGGATGTGGATGTGGATGTGGATGGGTGGGTGGAAGGGGGGTGGTATGAAAGAGGGCGTGCCCTTAAATGTTGTCGCATGTCGTGTTGAAGAAACACACATTTGACATGAAAGAATGGTGCCCGTATTGAACCAGGTGCAACATTAAACATAAAGCAACAAGTGATTGAGTGAATGCCTCAACGACACAACTAAGAAATCCAATGCATAGATTTGTGTACATGTTCACCATGTCCATCTGTTTGAACAACTTTCAATTGACTTGGCCGCTTTTTTCTCAACGGAGGAATCGCGTGGCCGGGCGCATTGCCCACGGCGTGCGGCGGCATGCCACCTTGCGCTTCGGGACGAAAGTTTGCCCTGTTGGGTCGCGGCAACCAACGTTCACACCCTTGCCCGATTTCCCCCCCATCCGGCAAGTGAAAGAGCACGTGTTCCTGAAGCATGCAGAGGCAGTGCAACACTTTAAACCCCAAGACCAAACAGCTCAAACCAACTGTAGACCCTTTCTTTTTGCTAAGAAGCTGAAAGCTTTGGGGTCTTTGCCCAGACTCCGGAGTGTTTCGGAGCTCCACGCTAGGGTTCTGGAAGCAGGTTGCTGTTGGGGATACCACCTGGGCTGAGTTTCAGGATACCCTTTTTTAGAGTTGGATTCAATCGAAGCCAAAGGACACGTCATCATATTTGGAGTCTTATAATCCGGACAATTGCTGTGGGTGGGCAACATCCAATCCAGGAACCACTTGGGATGGGTGAAAGCCTATGAATAATGGTTGATAAACAGGCAGAAACCACAAACATCAGAATGCATCGATTTTGTCCGTCGTCAGAACTCCAAGTCGTCCTTTCGGGGGAATTGGTAGGGCCTTCAAGACTTGGCAACCAGGGGCACAGGTTGCCAGTGTTCCAATGGCCCATGTCTTGTGTTCTAAGTGGGATTTGCGGGATGGAGCTTGTGATGACGCATGTCTTCTCGCCAATCTGCGGCCTTGGATTCCCTTGACCGGCCTCCGAGTAAACCTGAGATTGACATCGGGCGTTTTTTTCCAACACTTATGCGGGTGGGGGGTCAAAATCGTTCCGAAATAAGGGGCATATGCTTTTGCGGAGACTTTCCAGGTTTCGATCTGGAGCAGGGTCGTCAACTTCCACAAATGCTAAACTGAGGATTTGACCTATGCTATTCCGATGATCCCGATGTGTTTGTTCCCTTCTTGGAACCAATGGTTGTGTGTGTCTTCAAATCGAGGACTCCGCCTTGAAATGGATGCCGATTCAGATAGACGCGCAGTTGGGTCAACATGTGCAGTAGACTGAGGGACATGGGAAGTCACTTCCCACGTGGAACGCGGGGAAACCTTGGCAATTTTCACCATGTCTTGCTGCCGCCGGCTTTTGAGCCTCCCTTGCTTTCGATGGTGTACTTCGGTCGAAAAATTGTCAAAGTGCATCCCTATAGGTGCCAAGGGACGCTTCGGGTTTGGTTTTTTTAAGGTTAAGTTTCGCAGTCGCAGACAATCAGCATGTTGACTGATGTTTGCCTGAAAAGGAGGCAGACATGATGCCAAGCCACCCAACAGCAGATCCGATTTGCAAATACCACGGGCATGTGAAGTTCCATGTTGTGCGGGCCAAAGGTGATTCGTGTCCAGCCCCTTTGAGGGTCTCTTGGTCGCTCCTTGAAGCCCTCTTAAGCAAACTACGATGCATGTGTTGATTTTGAGAGATGGGGGTGTCCAATTCCTTTCCCTTTTAGTGGGGGATTCAGACCACTTCGACTTGAACAGGTTTGGCAATTGTATGTGTATGTGTCAAAATGGGGGTCCCTTGAACCCAACCTACCAAAACGTTCTTCATCAAAAGCACACCCCCATGGCTATGGGTCAAAAGCCCGGTTATCCCCCAGTGAACATCCCAATCCCCACTCAAATAGGCGTTATGGGTGGTGAATTCACCAAAACCCCCAAAATGGGATCCCAAAACGTTTTTGACAACCACAGCCACATCTGGGAGGGCGAGATTTCCCGTCCCCTCCCTCCCAGTGTGGTGGTGGCGGCCTGGGATGGTATTTGGACCGCCCTCAAGGCCGGCGATTTGGTACGCAGAACCTGGGGTGTCAAAAGGATATGTGGCTTGGTGGCTCCCAGCCATCCCCTTAGCTTTTTAGCCTTTTAGTGTTTAGTGGTAGTTTTGAACTTTAAACTTTTAGCGGGGCATCTGAGGGCAGCCCAGGTGGGTATGGGTCATATTAAAACCACCAGGAGACCGCAGGTTTTAGTCCTTCTTTCCATTTGCCAGGGTTCCATTTAGGGTACCTATTTTTTCTCCCACAGCCATGTTGGATTTGGTTCCCCAAAGGTCCATCGATCGGAGTTGGGCAAGTCCTACTCCCTGGTTTGTTTTGGCGTTTTTTTTTGGGATTGGACCATAAGGGTACGGGCCAATCAGCAAAGGGAGAAAATGAAGCAAGTTCCAAAAAAGGACTGGGGAAAGCAACTCGCCTGATCACGGCAACCTTCCCACCACGTGGGTGGAACCTCCTAGCTTGCGGGGGTTGGAAACTCACTGCCTGAGCTCCTGGACTTTAATCACTTGTCGGGCTTGGACCACTTCTGCAGTTCAACAAGTTCAGGCTATTTTGGCTAGTCCAGAATCTAGCCAACCAGGGTAAGGGTTTCGATTGGAACCATGGCCCACATAACCGCTGGAAACCATCGTGGATTTGAGGGATAGAGGGTCAGCGGAAAGCAAACAAAACACAGACCACTCCCCACCCCTCCCACCCCTCCCACCCCCCCCAAAAAAAAACAACAACAACAAAAAACAGCTCTGACCTTGCTTGGCTCGGGGTTATTCATTTGTATGGGCTTGCGGTTCCATGAATTGTTGCCTATATACTTTTCAGGCAGCGCTCTGTTAGACAATGGCCGAACACTTAGTCTCAGTGATTCCATTCCCCTGTGTAGTCCAATTACTTCACTGCTCTTGGAGAGCTTGTTTTTGATTTTTGTTCTGGGTCTGTTCATGTTTAATTTAGTAGGGGGCTGCAACAGTCAACGTTGTTAGCGACCATTCCAAGGGTTGTGAAGATCAACCAAGGGACCCACCCAATGGGAGAATGGCAGCTGGGATCCACTGGAAGTGGAGTCTCAGGGCCTAATAACCTCAGACAGAGCGGTCTATCATGCGCAAAGCCGCCAGTCGACGGTCGGGCAGGCTTGATGCGTGGAGTTGGTTTGTTCTTGCCCCAACGGGCAAAGCGAAGTTATGTTTATGTTTTGATCTGGGCTCAGCATCAGAAACCGTCTTTCTGCAGGGACGCCAGCTGGAATATGCTGATGGCGGGACACCAGGCTTCAGATTACCACTTAATTTGTGTGAAGGGGCTTCAGGCACTTGTCGAGGACGACTAGATAAATGGAGTGGAGGTGCTCCTTCCCTGCCGATAGCCCAGTATTTACAGGCGGATTCCACCCGTGAAAATTTGGTTTAGGTGGTGTCCTTTAGGTCCTTTGGCGAAAGAAACAAGCACCTTTAAGGCCAACGGATATTGCTTCTGGAGAGGGAAACTCGACATTTCGTGGTGGGTATGTAAACTCAAAAGGGCTGCCGCCCATTCCGGGGATCTAGTAGGAACCCAGGTCCGCATGATAAGGTGTACCAGCCACCTACCACACACCCGAAAAGTAAGTTGCGGTGTATGAAAAACGAGTACTTCTTCCCCTCACGCAACATGGGTTTGTTTGTTTGTTTGTGCGTGTGTGTGTGTGGTTTGTGGAGGTACACTTTGTTTCGTGGCTTTAGAGCGGAATCAACCGAAACACCATGTAATTATAGTACAGGGTATCCATATTTTATGTTGACAAACTTACAACAGGGTTTCCAACCAGCCAGGTCGCTCTATGTAGCTGGCATTCGGCTTCACAAACACATTCTCCAAACCCAATTCCACAAGCATCTCACAGACTCCGGGCAGTTCTTGGATATAAATATCTGTCAAAATCGGGGTACCTCTTAAAATCTGGTGGTTTTCCTGATACCCTCAACACTGGTGGCTTTCCAAAACTTGTGGTGTTCCTTTTTCCGTTCCAACCCCAAACATTTGGCACACCTCTTAAAACTGGCGGTTTTCCTTTGGTTTGGTACCCTCAAAGATACACAAGCCTCCTAAAATTCGTAGATTTCTAGAACTTGTGGTTTTCCTTTGGTTTCCCGTTCCAACCCAACAGGGTACCCCAAAAATGTATATATATATATATAATAATAATAATAATAATAATAATAATAATAATAATAATAATAATAATAATAATAATAATAATAATAATAATAATAATAATAATAATAATAATAATAATAATAATAATAAATGCCTCCTGCAGAAGCCCGGAGTTGGATTGGACGATGTTTGCCCAGTTCCGTCAGGCCATTGCGAGAGCGAGAGTCTACCTGGAGGAGGATGCCATGGCAACCTGGCGCCGAGTGGCTGACTGGCAGACGCTGGAAAAAACGCGCGCGGGTGGGTGGACCAGTTGGCAAATTTGGATTTGTTTAGGTTCAAGCAAATGCTGAATTTTGGGAACTTTGGGAATTCAGACTTCGGCGATTTGTCCTTTCGGGGTAATCCTTGCGAAGGAAAAAACGAAAGCTATCCGAGTCCGCCCGTGTGGCCCGGGGGGCTTCTTTTGGTGGATGTGTCTCTTTTTTTTGCGGGGGACCCCCCAAGTGGTGGTTTCCCTTGGAAGCCAAAGACAAGGGGCCCCAAAAAGGGAACCGAGACAACGGATCCTGGTCAACTGGCTGCCGCCATTAGGTTCCAGTGAGAGAGGCTTGATTTTCCGTCCAGAGGTGTGTGTTTTTGTCCGGCATGTATGGGTTTGCTGTGTGCCTTGCTCCCAACCCAACCATGAGGGGTGTACATTGGCTGCTTTGCGCCATTCCTGGTGGAGCGTTTTCCATAATTTGGGCTATCAACCGACCTATTTTGGTATGTTTGTGACTATTCCTGTCTGCACAAATTTAGACGAGCTCACGCCCAGCATATCAAGCTCGCCTGTGAGGTTCTGGTTCCTTGCCCGAGGATTCCTTCTTTCATCCGTTTTCTGGTGTATGAAGTATAGCAATTGGCCCAATATGTTTGTTTCTTCCTTTTTGCGGTGAAGGTGAATACGGGTACGTGGGTCATGGAGCATGACCCTTGGAAACATGGGGCATGACCTTCTTTTGGGTGCTGTCTCCACTTTTAGGGGTCGAGGGCGGCCGGTTTCCTCTTGAACTTGCCGGTTTGCCTCTTCCGCCCAAGCGCGGGAGAGTACTTCAAAAAGCTGGAGCGCTTTGCTCAGGGGTTTGTTTGGGGTTTGGACCAGGGCAAGTGGCAAGGTTGGGTACCCTCCCACCAACTAAGCTGCAGAAAGACGACTTTCCTGGAAATGGGGGTTTGTGCACAAACCCATGTTACTTGGCGACTTTTGTTTGGCGAACAGCTCCATGGGACGATTTCTTCCCCCCAAGGACTTCAGCCTCGCACTGGCCCAGTCCAGGTGGGGGTTTCGGATGTTTTCGGGATCCATTTGCCTGAGGTAAAGGGGCCCAGAGGGCCCCGGAAATAGAAGCGGAAGCAACTGGCGAATGTTGACTCCATGTCAACCCTTGTGAATTAAATGTGGGCGTGAGTGGGGAATGAGATCACTTTTGGAAGGGCACACCCCCTGTTGATACCCCCTATTAATATAAACTGGGGTGGGTAAATATGGGGTCCACATGTTGCAGAAAAGCTGCTAGGCGATACAGTAGCGGTTTCTGAAACATCCGCCACAAGTGTACAAATATCAGAAAGGCCTGAGGCCCGCAAACTGAAAGCCTCATATGGGCACCTCGCAGTTGAGGAGAGACATCAGAGCCCTTTGATTGCACCACTTTG